TGAGTTTTATTCTCAAGAGGTTTTGTGACATTATATCTACATCTACATTTGTCAAAGATGATAGATTCTTTGATTTGAAGAAGACAAATATATTGGGTTTTTATAATTGAAGAAATACTCAATTTACCAGTCTGAAATCAAACAACTTAATATTCATGCATCATATTTAGGCATTTGCAAAAATAGATGCATTTTCATTCATTTTTATTCTTGTTGAATTTTTAACAGAAATTTCAAAGATTTTAGCAAAGATTTCAAATCCACTTGATGGATCATACGTTGCCAGAGAAAGTTCATAATGAGAAGAACTCATCTGAAGAAGGAAGAGAAAGTTCATAATGAGAAGAACTTGTTCAACTTTTTGTTTGAATTCATCATTTGATGAATCAACATTGCCAGAGAAAGTTCATAATGAGAAGAACTCATCTGAAGAAGGAAGAAGAAGTTCATAATGAGAAGAACTTGTTCAACTTTTTGTTTGAATTCATCATTTGATGGATCAACATTGCCAGAGAAAGTTCATAATGAGAAGAACTCATCTGAAGAAGGAAGAAGAAGTTCATAATGAGAAGAACTTGTTCAACTTTTTGTTTAAATTCATCATTTGATGGATTATTTTTGCCAGAGAAGGTTCATAATGAGAAGAACTCATCTGAAGAAGGAAGAAGAAGTTCATAATGAGAAGAATTTGTTCAACCTTTTGTTTGAATTCATCACTTGATGGATTATTTTTGCCAGAGAAGGTTCATAATGAGAAGAACTCATCTGAAGAAGGAAGAAGAAGTTCATAATGAGAAGAATTTGTTCAACCTTTTGCTTGAATTCATCATTTGATGGATCAACATTGCCAGGTAAAGTTCATAATGAGAAGAACTCATCTGAAGAAGGAAGAGAAAGTTCATAATGAGAAGAACTCATCAAGAGCTTATTCAACCTTTTGAATGACTCTATCACAAAAAGAAGGTCATCATCATCCCCAGCAGAAAGTTCATAATAAGAAGAATTTATTTGGAGAAAAAGAAGAATTTATTCAATATCTCCATAATGATCAAAGTAAAGTCAAATGGATAAAAAATTTTATTATCTTTTCATCTTTGCCCTATTCTTGTTAACACAAGAATGAGCAAAGAGGGGCAGCTGAAGATACTAAATTTTTTATCCATATTATTATTATATTATTATTATCCTTATTATTATTAATATTATTATCATTATTATTATTAATTATTATTATCCATATTATTATTATTTATTATTAATTTATATTAAATATATTAAATACATAATAATAATTACAGACCCATTACATTTGGACCGGCCCAGTTACAAACCAACCAGAACCGGTCCAGATCTAACCAGAAACCCTAAATATTTGGGTTTCCAGTTAGGGTTTCCTAACCCTAATCTAATCAGCCGCCTCAGCTCATAGCCGTTGGATCTGGCAAGATCCAACGGTCCAGATGGCTCCAGAGAGGAACCCTAGGGTTTGATACCCTAGGGCCACGCGGCGCCGCCCCAGCTTCCACGCGGCTGCCGACAGTCTTCTCGCCGCCTCCGCCGCTGCCACGTCCCAACCGAAGACTCCAGAAGATAAAATGGCAGCCGTCCACGCCATGGCTACTCGGTGAGTCACCACTGGTAGTCCGGTGACTCACCGAGAGCCCTTCTTCGGACCGGTCCGACGGATACAATGGTGGTGGCTATAAAAGCCACCACCCCACCTGCGAAGAAAAAAAAAAGGAGACAGAAACCGGAGACAAAAAAACCAGAGACAGAGACAGAAAAAAAAACAGAGAAAGGAAAAAAAACTATACCAACGATCTCAGTCAACATCAACAAAAGGAAAAAAAAAGGAAAAGAGAGGAAAGAAGCTTACCCTGTCAACGGAGAACCACAACCGTCGCCGGATCTCACCAAAACCTTCGAAAAGCCGAAGGTATTATTTTAGATTTGCTCCGATTGGGAGCCGTTTAACGGAAAAAAACATCGGAATCGTCATTAGGACGGTCCGATCTACGTTTAGATAAAAGAAAAATTTTTTCCGGCCACCGAAGACGGTGGCCGGCGGCGGTGGTTGACGGCGGATGAACGCCGGCTAACGGCTGCCGGCCGGCTGGGCTTCTCTCTGTGTTAGAGAGAAGCGAGAGAAATTTCTCTCTCTCAGAGAAGAGAGAGAGAAGGAAGAAAAGAAATGAAATGGCTGGCCCTTCGGGCCAGCCGATTTGGACTTTTATAGTCCTTCCCGAACGACGTCGTTTCGGGAAGGACTATACGCGTAATTTTGAAATAATTAAACCCTGTCCGCAGTCCCTTGTATTTGTAAATTTTACATTTTAGTCACTAAATTGAATTTATAATATTTTTAATTCAGTTTTCAAATTTTAATTTCTTTTATTTTAGTCCTTCATATTAAAATAATATATTTAGGATAAATTACAGATTTAATCCCTTAATTTTAATAAATAATTTTTTAATCCCTAGTTCATATTTTTAATTTATTCTATTATAAAATTTGGATTTTAAATAATTTCCTTTTGGTCACTAAATTATTAAATTAGAAAATAAAATATTTAAACCCTATAATTTCAATTAATTAGTAATTAGTAATTAGTTTTATTTTTATAATTTAGTTATTCATTTTATATGTCTTCATTTATTTTATTGTTTTTAAATATATTGTTTTAGTAATATTTTTATTTTATTATATTGTTAAACATTTTTTATATATTCATAAATATACATATAATAAATAGTATTTTTTTAAATATTTATTTTTAATATCGAAGAAAAGGACAGTCTTAATACAACTAGATGTCCTATTATGATATTTTAAAATTAAAAAGTAAGCAATACTATTTAAATTAATATTTATCAATATCAAAGAAAAGAGCTGTCTTAAGGCACCTAGAAGTTCTTTTCGGATATTTTTAAATAAATATTTTTTATATAATTTTGAAATAATAGGATTATAAATTAAATATATTTTTGAATTTTTAAATTTTAATAATAGAGACAATTTATAATTAAAAAGTACCAATTTTGGGCGTTGTAGGGGTGCTAATCCTTCCCTAAACGTAACCGACCACGAATCCCTTTTTATTATTAAAAAGAACGAATTTTTGGTTATAAAACGCAGATCAGTGCATCTTTTAAATAATGTTTTCTTAAAAACTTTTTTTTAAAAGATAATTTTTAGGTATTCGACCTACCTGACCCAAAAGGCCGATGACGACTCTCAAATTATTTTCAAAATTATTTATTCACATCAATTTCCCCGCCAAAATAAATATTTCGTGCCCGGACGAAAACCGGTTACGACAAACTGTTTTATCAGTCCCTATACTATTTGTAAATTATAAATTTAGTGTCTTTAATTTTAATTCGATATTTTAAAAAGTTGGGTTTCACTCCATCTTCACCATTTTACTAAGAGGCATCAAATCTCATTATTTTGTGGCAAATATCATTACTTAATAGATGAGCCATATTAAGCATACACGTAAGTAATCAACAAAGGATGTTAAGAATGTGTGCCCTTAGTCCTTACGTGAAGTTACGGGTTGCAGCGAATCTAGCAAGTGGACAGTGTTAATAAGAAAACCAAGAATGTCAACCATGTGATAATTTTTTCTTTATAGAATTAGGTTGCTTGATTTCTGCTGCCACTGTCTACCGGAGGTCCTATTGCCATTTGTTAACTGAGTTTTTAAGCTATTGAATGTGAAACGATGGAGCATTGACGCATAACTTCGAATCTTGATAACTTATAAATATTGAAGTTGGATAATGTTTCTTATTATGGAAGTGTGAACTGTGAAGTGTCAATCAAAGATTATAATAATATTATTTGGTTGTTTAATTTTTAAGAACATGCATGACCGTCTCCAGAATATAATTACGATTGCAGATGGACAGTTGTAGCGAATGGGCACCCCCAAAATTTTAACTATTTAATCACATGGAATTAGGTAAGCTTATTAATTATTTCAAGGTTCTGCATGATCAATGTTATTCTCTTTGTTTTTGAAGGGAGTGAAATGTTGCTTTGGATGAGCCCATGCTTCTTAAACAAACATTATATTACGTAATGCCACCTTCATCCCACATTAAAATTAATATTACTTTATATTTGCCTCCAAATGAAAATTTGGTTTATTGCATGCCCAAAGGTCAGGTGAGACCAACACACATGCGTTATGCGTACACGACTTCACCACTCTAAATTTTTCTTTTCAATAATTCGTTCATTTCCTCCCACTAAAAGGACCCATCATCATGTGGACCAACCTGTTAGAGAATAGTCCCATTAATATTGTAGAAAATAAACGATATATGATGTAGACTACTACCTAATATTATATTCAAATATTCAATCATCCAATAATTTATAATCTTTTCTGAGCTCAGGGGCAGCAGCAATAATTCGGTGCCGCCTGTCCCCATCTTCTCTATATTGATATCGAAAGGAATGGCGATGAGGACAATTTTGCCAACAACTTCAACTCACTCACTGTTTTCTTTGAGTTATTACATCCATCCCATCCCATCTCCCTTTAATTGAACTAGTTTAATCAAATCAAACATACCCTTAACCTCTACTTACATATAAGCTTGATTAGATATAGACCATATTCTTCAATAGTTAGATAATCAAAGATTGTTTTGCTTAACCATGCATGCTTAAGGTAATGTACACTACTAAAGAATCTTATCCAATCTTTGGGTATAAAAATTTCTTCTGATTATTTCTTAGCTAACATCACATGCCATGCCTGGTTTAGGTTTGTTCAGCAGTTTCTTGCGCTGGTGACCATGACCCATGTTTTATATTTTTTTTATATCATGTGAATATTATTTTGCTTCTTTCAAGATCAAAAACATTAGTTCAAATGAAAGAGTGAAGCAACTCTCACTTTCTAAACCAACTGCAAATCTCACATGAACGCTTGCCTTCTTTCATCTCTCAATCCCATTCAAGCTTTATAGTGTGTAAATTGTTCATGTGTATTCGTGCTGTCTTTATTAATACCTCACCACATGAAAAACGCTGCTTGCTTGGAGAGTTCATTTCTTCTTCAATAGCTTCATTAGGTTCTGTTTAGCTTTTGCTTTTCCCGAGAAAATTTGGCCTCTAGTTTTCCTTCTCTGTCTCCCTGCACACATATATATGATTATAGCGTTGGGGTTTGTAAACATGATTTCTTTTGATTGATTTTCTTCCTATAAGATGGACAATTGGTTATGTAGCCATGTTTCAGTTTCCTAAGTGAGGGTCAAGGAGATTACATTTGTCTTCGTCGTGTTTGAACATCTGGGAGCAATTGGGAAACTCGGTATTGGCAAGATGCTAGATTGTTTATATCTGTCTTCAGGCTCTTGTACTTGTTTCTGCATGAACACCTTGGATGATGAGTTTGAGAAAAAATCTTTGGTATCATCTGAAAAAACCCAGTTGCTGAGATTGAAAGATGTTGTGTCTGGCAATCAGACCTTGGTCTTTCAACTTAAGCCTAAGGTAATATTATTTTACATCTCCAAGTGTTTGCTTTATCCTCTGAAAGAGAAACAAATGTCAAATGAAAGCTTAAGGAATTTTCAGTTGAGTAACTTTTCATTCATTGATTTGAGCTTGCAGATGGTGGTACTGAGGGTTTCCATGCATTGCCATGGATGTGCAAGAAAAGTTGAGAAACACGTTTCAAAGATGGATGGTAAGCAATGGAAGACCTGTTTAGATTCCTTTTGGTTTTGTTTTGATTTTATCATTATTGTCACTGTATTATAATTCCATGACGTCCCATTAAATACAGGAGTGAGCTCATATAAAGTAGACCTGGAAAACAAAAGGGTAGTTGTTATTGGTGATGTAATCCCTTTTGAAGTGCTGGAGAGTGTCTCAAAGGTTAAAAGTGCAGAGCTTTGGACTTCTGATCCTTCTTGATGGAAGAACAACTTGTAAATGTAGAAAGGATTTATATAACATATAGTACCATATATATTTGATACATATGCCAAAGTTTTTGTTGGCCTGGCCTGTGTAGAGGAGAGCAAAAGGAAGAACCATAGGCCATTCCTTATCCGGTATCCATGTTTGATATTTGAACCCGATACGTATCTGGACATGGATATAAATATAAAAATTTGATGTTCCAAATATGTATGAGTGTGTTTGTGTCCTATATTCAATCAATGTTTGTAATTGTCACCATGTTTCCATAGTTGTATTCTGTGTACTTTTGATTTTGCGTTTCACTGTTGGAATAGCCAGATATGAAGATATAAAAGTGGGTATTTTGCATTAAGAGAAATGGGACAGTGTGATTGGTAATTAACACCTAAAAACACTGTTTTGGAATTTGAGGCTGTCTTTGATATTAGCAAGGCATGGCATGTGATTGTTGGAGTCTGATCAGCTCAAAAACTGAGTTGGACCCATTTCTAATTTGATCCCAAACTTGTGGTACTCGTGCATGTAAAATTAGAAAACAACCTTATACATATCTAAAAATCCACTTCTACTTAGACAAGACGATTTAATTTGTTTAATCATCCTCTTTGGTCGAAGAGGACGTGTGATATCAAATTGACATAATAAATTTTATGTTATAGATCTTATACATGCCATCTAAAAATCCACTTTGTTATGCGATATCAAAGACATAAGATACGTAAGACACTCTTCCTCTTTAATAAAAGAGTGAAAAAATCCAAATTTAGACAACTATCAATTAAGATCTCCAAGTCCTTTTTCACTCAAATTTGAAGAAATGAACTACGGCCATGATTTTTTTTTTAATTATTAGTAAAAAAAATTATTGAAAGGATTTTATTTTAAAAAATAAATCTTTAATTTTACTTTGCTGGTACTACTACTATAAAAGAAACTGAGACATTCTTATAACTTAAAAGGAGCATAGTGGCAATAACGTAAATGACAAAGCAGGAAACTTCTGTTTGTACCTTGTACTTCCAAAAGGAGGTTTCGGTGAGAAAGAGGAATCCACTTCCCTCTGCACCAAACCCAGAAAAAGAAAAGATCAAACCTCCCCAAGGACTCATCTTACAGAGTTAACTGCTAATTATATAATCCGACACGTAATTAAAAAATAAATACGATATATATAACACTAGCGAGCTATGGGCCTCAAGAAGCATGAAACTAGTATGGGCTAGATTGAAGACCAGTACGGTACCGTTTCACTCAACCGCAGCTTTACCACGACAACACGGCACCCAACTCTTCCCCGCTTCCTTCCTCCTCTCAACAACAGACTTCCTGAACATTCATTAAATACGTTCGGTATAGATTGAAAATAAAAAGCAAAGCTATACAAAAAACCAGGGCAAAAGGAAACACAATTCTCATCGACATAAAATTAAAGGAAAAATAACGATGAAGTCTATCTTTCTCCTTTCGTTTCTCCTTCTAATCTTACCCTTCTCCTCCCAAACCCCAAACCCCAATCTCAAACCCCCACTCCACCAGGCCGAGCTTATAAACTTTGGTTTTCCGGTCGGTCTTCTTCCGGCCTCTGTCAAGAAGTACACTCTTAACCAAACTTCCGGTCACTTCGCCGTTGATCTAGGCGGCACGTGTAAGATCACGCTCCCGCCAGACAACTACCTGGCTGCTTACTCCAAGAGGATAACGGGGAAAATTGAAAACGGAAAGATAGCGGAGTTGGATGGGATCCGGGTCAGGGCTTTGTTCAAGTGGTGGTCCATTACCGGCATTCGATCCAGTGGGGATAATTTGGTCTTTGAAGTCGGGATGGTTACGGCTAAATATCCAGCTAAGAACTTTGATGAAAGCCCTTTCTGTGAAGGCCGTCACTCGTCTTCTTAAAAGCTAAAACCAAAGTAAAAATTAAGGTTCGACTTTTTTAATTTGAAACTTTCTCTTAAATTGTTTAGTTGGAAAACTTCGAAACGAATATTCAGATGCTAATTGGTTATTTTTTCAGTGCTATATTCTTTTTTTTAATAATAGTCTTTGAAAACGATATATGACTATCTTTTCCTATACTTTTTTAGGATGAGTTATAAGTTCTCTGCCAATCTAAATGGATTAGCCATGATTGAGAATAAATCATTGGTTTGATTGTCTAATATGAGATTTTACTTGCTTGACGTTGGATATTTGTAGTGTATGGTATGTAGAGTTTTGTTTAGTTTTATGAAGCTTTGTTTAACATAAACTAAAGCTATTGTACATTGCTATAATATATTATTACACATCTAGAGTTGTGTGCTTTTAGGCGTGTCGTAACCGATATAACTGTTACATTTAGCAGGTTAATTAATTGAACCATCAACTTTAAACAGTTTCGGTTAACCGAACTGCTGAAAATGAAGATTAACAATTAAGGTTACCGTTACAAATTTTGATAAATGGTTAACCGTTAATAAATTAAATTTATAATTATATTAGGAGATGTACATAATTACACCATTGTAAGTATGTTTTAAGTGCTACACTTTTTGGGAGATGTACCTACTTACAGCGGTGGAAGTATGTGTTAAGTGCTACACTTTTTTGTAGTATGAATTATGAAACTTTAAAATGTTCATGTTGTGTTATTTTTGAAAAATAATTGTAATAGATTAACCTATAACCAAATCGTTAATAACAGTTAACCGTTAGCAGTTAACCGTTTCGGTTAGAAAAATTTCGTAACTGTTATAACGGTTAACCGACCGTTTATTCTAAATGGTACAGTTAACCGTCCATGAACATTCCTACTTTTAGGTAATGTGCTGATTATTTTAATTCTTCTGTCTGGGATTATGTTGTTATATGTCTGCTGATGAGTTTGTCTCTTACTGCAATGGCACTTTCTCATGACTTTTTTTTTAAATTTGATTATCTTAATGTGCATAACTAAGTAAGCTGAAAAGCGTGCTATGGGTTTATAACCTATCTTACTCAGATTTGGGTGTAAGCCTCGGATATGAGTATGTTCATTTCCAGCTCTTGATATGCATGGTATATGAGTTTAGGATCGTATACCTTAAGATAACTGGAGTAGAGCAATATAGGTTGTAGCCCGACTTTGGTAAGTTTTACTAACGAAGTAACACTTTTAGATTTTAACTTATTCAGGCCATTAATTTTATAAATGTAAATACAAATTTATATCTCGTTGAATAAGCTTATCTGGAGTTTAGGGTTGTTATTACTTATTTATCTAAACCTTCATAAGGAACATCCCCAAAGTATGTTATATGTTCTCATGAAAGGAGCTATTTCTGATGTATTTAGGCAGGTTCAAAATTCAATTTTCATGCGGCTAGTGTATCATGTTGGCTGACTTTGTTTGCACTCCACTTGATTAAGCTTTGTCTTCAAAGATGCTAGTATCGAAAAGTTAGAATTTTTTTTTGGAGCGACGAGGATAAAATAATCTGTTCATTTCATTTGAACTATATGATTTCACCTCTAATATAAGCAATATCCTATAAGATATTACCATGATATGAACACTACAATAAATAAATCTTGTAGCAATGATAAGAGATCATGCTATCAATGTGCACAAGATATCATCGAACACATTTTTTACCAGAATGATTTATTAGGACTGATGGTGTGATAATTATTTATCTTGGAATGCAATACTGTGCATATTTTACAAGTTTTAGTTTACCTGTCAGGTTTTCATAACACACTAGTTTTCTGATTTTCTTTCACAGGGCTTCTCGGTTTGCTGCATGGATTAGGTTATTACGTATGTTCTCTGTGATAGTAAGATGTTTGTCTCATCTAAGACGAAATGAATACTCTGTATCTTAAGATGTTTGTCTCATCTAAGACTAAAATATAGGGCAAACGTTATCTTCCCCTGCATATTTATGTTACCACGGATTTCTGCACTAGATTTCTGCACTAGTGCAGACCCCTATCATTTAAGGTGTTGTGGATGTTCCTAAAGCTCTGTATGCAAAACCTGAAACTGATAAGTTAAAGTTATGTTACCTTTTGAATTGTGAGTTACCTTGTTTAATTTTCATGTCTTATCAACAAGTTGCAAGAGCAATAAATGCATGCCAATAATTGATAGATATAGATAAGATTGGAATGTGTCAAATGGAATGGGTTGGCATATGGGAAACGTGGGTTAGAATCTTGTGAGTGGTGTTTTGGGAAGACCCGGTTTCAACAAAATTTTAGGGTGGTGTTCAGGCAGGTAATCAAGTCGAGTTGAATTGAAGTTGTAAGAAGCTCAACTTTAGTGTTTCAGTTTTGAGTTTTATTCTAGATAAAAGACATTGTTTGAGTTTTGAGCTTTGGTGTGTAAAAGCAGGAACTTGATGTCCATCGAGATACAGTAGTATTACATGCATCTGAGCTGAGATTGCTGCGCACTTTGGGCTTTGATAATAGCTTTCTTGGACATTGGAGAACTCAACATTCAACAAAAGCAATACTATGTAGTAAAGCAGGACAAACAAACAAGTTGTTATAATTAGGTTGCTATTACTTTAGCCATCACCGAATCTCTCATCGGAAATACCACCATCAATTAGTATATGGTCAATCAATGTTATTCAACAACCTAAAAACTTAACACCTTCTTGGACTATGTCTTTGAAACTTTTCCTAATTAATTATTGCCAACCATTTTTGCATTCAAACACAGCTTGCGCCGTTCGAGCCAACTTGAATTATAAAATTATACCAAATTGAAGCATAAAAATTATGTTTTAAATTATAGCATAATAGAGGTCTCAGAATTATAATTTGACCAATGAATGTGAAATTTGAAAATTTGAACCACCGATTCAATTTTGTTAGTTGGATAATGAATAAGATATTATTTTTAATGAGAATAAATTATACTATAATTTATTTTTTCCTATAAAACGCTGATAAATCTATAGAAATGAAAAAAAAACAATGTAATAGAAATTGAATTTTGTCCGTGGGAAAATATTTTTTACCTCGTCTCAAAGAAGTATTGACGATATATTTGATATTAAAGTTTTTTTTTATTAATTGAGGTGAATACAAAAGGTAATATATATTTAAAGATCTTCAATCATTTAATAATAAATATTCATAAATTATTATATACATGATATTTAAATTTAAAATTTTAAAAATTAAATATCAATCTCTTAATTATGAAGTAACGAATCGTGCTTGGTATTAAAGTTGTAAATAATGATAATATGTTAGTAGTTTTATATGATAAAAAATGTACACAAGAATACTAAATGAAAATCAAACTCCTTTTCTATATTTGACGTGGCAATTTTTTGTCAACTGGTTTTATCGGCTCCATTGCTTTCAAGATTCTATGTCGACGTGTTGAATTTTTATTTGTCTTATCAATCTTAAAAGTTGTGTTAAGTTTATAATATTCCACAAGAATATATTATTATTATTTAAAAATTTAAATAGATTTAGCTATAAAATAACAACTTTATTTAATAAAAATTAAACGCTGAAAATATTAATGAAAAATACATTTCAACTTCCTGAAATTAAAATTAAAATTTTAATTAGAACAAACTGGAATATTTAAATATCCGATAATTCGAACAGGATCTAACATTACGATTTCTAGATTTTACGTTTTGTGAGACCTTCGGCAGAGTATTTAATGGCAATCAATTAAAAATCATTACTCTTCAGCCAATAATTAAATAATTAAAATTATCCTGATCCAACGGGTCTAAACGTCCAAGGATTTTGATTTGATCACTAATCTTTTGCCGGCAGACCCTACTGATAAAAGAACCAATCACGCGCTAAGCCGGTAAGTGTTATATCACGAATCAATCAGGAAAAGCAACAGTTCTTTAACGTACTTTTTCTGTTCAACCATAAACCAGCACTGCTTAATACCAAACAACCAAGACGCGTTCCTGCTCGCGCGTGACTGTCCCATGAACTTTTTACCTCCAAAGCATTAGCAACTGGTACAAGCATTCTCGTATCTCTCTTCAAAACCCAACTCACAACGAAGAAGAAACTCTCTCTCTCTCTCTCTCTCTCTGTTCTTGGATTAAAAGGAAAAAACTTCATTTTTTCTCTATTTTTTGGTGGGTTTTTGGCTTCGTTAGATTCCTCCCATTACACGAAGGTATTTATTTGATCTTAAATTTATTTTTCTCTTTTAATTTGTTCTTTTTAGTTTTTTAGATTTAAAAAAAATTGCTCAGACCGGCCTTGTTTCAGTTTTGGCTCTTGACTTCCTTTCTGTCAAATTACGCTCCTTTTTTCTCGTACATTATCATCTTTAAATTTACGCTGTTTTCTATATCCTACATTTGATTTTCCTTATTTTTTAATAATTTGTTTCGTTTATATTTGTCTGTTTTGCTTGGTCATGTTACATTCACAGGCATTGGTGTTATTTTTTTTAAATAAGATATTCTGCTTGGAGTTTATTATTATTATTTAGTTTCTCCTTTTTTGTGCAATCAAATTTCTTTTCTTTTAGGTTGAATGGAGCTCGCAAGCTTCTTTTTTTTTTTTTGCACTTATTCTGTTTTTTTATCAACAAAATGTGTTTTTTTTGTTATTGGTGCGAAGTTTTTCATTTGCTATTTGTTGTATATATGTTTTGGGTTGATAGTGAGCTACATTGCAGAGACGGGGAAAGGAAGAGTAAGATTTAAATAAATATGAAATTTTCTTCCACATGCAGACCGTGGGGAAGCTTTCAATTTCATTGCTTTCGTTTTGTTTATCTTTTCCTTGTTTGGTTTCATTCATGCGGAAACTGGATTTCTTTTCATTTGGGGTTGAAGGAATTAGTCTTGTATTGATGGTAGATTATTTGCTAGTGGTGCTGAATTCAAACCCTGGTCATTTTTTTACAGGGGGGAAGAGGTAAGGTTTGCAGGTTTCGACATTTAAATTATGGATTTGGAGGATAAATACCTTGCTAAAGGTATGATCTTAATGTCTACTTTTTGTTCATTTTAATAACTCCCCCCTCCTTTCTCTGTATTTGTTACTTGATGAATCCTTTATCTTAAAAGTGATTATATGTTGATGCACAGTAATGAGATAGTTATGTCACTCTTGCTTCATGTTGTGATAGCATTGTTGTACCAGGAACTGACTTGAGACATTGGGAGAAGATACTTTCTATAACTTGGATGAACCTTAATCTAATTGTGGTAGCAAATGCTTCTACTTTCCCATTAAGTTCCATGCTTTTCAGGGAAAAATATCATGACTATTTTTAATGCCAAATCAGGATTCTGAATTGCCTTTCTTTTCTAGCTATTTTAGTCTTCAAATATTTAATATTGCGAAGTTTGTTTAGGCTTTAGATAAAAATACCTTTTATATGCATCAAGTGTCTTGTTCAACTGGTACTGATTTAATATGGTATTCTTTCATCTTTTATTTTTCTCAACATTTTTGTGGTAAGACTTATTGACAATTTGACATATTACAGTTCAATTTCCTTACCGTCAACATCTTTCCTTTTGAGAACCTGTTGGCAACTTTCAATAGCGAATTTAGATAACGAGTTCAGATACCAACTTCCATCACGACTTTTTCCAATAATGGAGTTTCCGGCATACAAAGTCTTTCTTCCAGTGTGCAAAGTACTCCAGAGAAAAATGGCCATTCAGATGATGCTTCGAGAAGTCCAGAACTCCTGCAAGAGTTCCTGAAATCTGGTCCAAGAAAGGAGCTTCTGCGAACCTGTTTTCATAAGGACAAGAAAAACTCAGCTTCTTCAAAGAGCAAAATGTCTGAAGCTTTAAAGTTGGGTAACAATATCATCAAAAAGTCAGACTCGAGAAAGGCTTTATCCACTTCCAACAGTCAGTCTTCTGCTAGGAAGCAAAACAGAAAGGGAGAGAACCCAATGAGAGTGCTCTCAGTTACTGAGCAGCCTGCAGACCATGGATTTTCTACCTCATGGATATGTAAAAATTCTGCTTGCAGAGCTGTTCTTTCCATAGATGAAACATTTTGTAAGAGGTGCTCATGTTGTATCTGTCACCTATTTGATGACAACAAGGACCCGAGTCTTTGGTTGGTATGCACCTCTGAATCTGGTGAGGGGGACTATTGTGGGTTGTCTTGCCATATTGAATGTGCTCTTCAACGTGAGAAGGTGGGGGTTGTTGATCTTGGACAATTGATGCAGCTAGATGGTAGTTATTGTTGTGCTTCTTGTGGTAAAGTGTCAAGTATACTTGGGTAAGTAATTGGCTTGCAGCTCATGCCTCATTCAGCTTTCTTTTTTGTTCTTTCCCAACCTTACAAACTGCTGTTTTAGTTCTTCCAAAACTGTTATTTTTCTATGTATGGAAAATGGTTACAATGTGATGAACCATGTTTCAGAGAATAAGGTAAAATGCTATTTCTCTATATCTGGTTTAGGTTTTTCCGGTTTGGGCTGGTAGGATTGATGTGATTTACTTGCTCCTGGCAGATGTTGGAAGAAGCAGCTAATGATAGCTAGAGAAGCTCGCCGCCTGGATGTACTCTGTTATAGGATATACTTGAGTTACAGGCTCTTAGATGAGACTTCTCGCTTTGAAGAACTGCATAAGTTTGTGAAAGATGCAAAGGCCAAACTAGAAACCGAAGTGGGCCCTGTGAATGGAATTTCTGCTAAAATGGCACGAGGAATAGTGAGCAGGCTTTCAGTTGCTGGTGATATACAGAAACTATGCTCTGTTGCAATTGAAAAAGCAGATGAATTGTTAGTGATGATGTCTAATACTAATTCAAAGTGCCAAGGTTAGAACCAACAACGGCTTCTTTTATTTCTTATTGGTTATTTTGAAGTTAGTTATATGATAAACTTGTTTTCCCTTTTTTGGGCAGGTTCACGTCCTGCTGCTTGCAAGTTTCTATTTGAAGAAGTGATGTTGTC